AGAATGCAGAAGGAAATCACTGCTCTGGCTCCACCCACGATGAAGATCAAGATCATTGCTCCTCCTGAGCGTAAATACTCTGTGTGGATCGGAGGATCGATCTTGGCGTCACTGTCCACCTTCCAACAGATGTGGATTTCCAAGCAAGAATATGATGAATCTGGTCCCTCCATTGTTCACCGAAAGTGCTTCTAAGAAGTGTTTGAGAATTTCATTGGCACAAAATCTGTGAAAAAAATGGGGATAAATTATTAACTCCACAGCTTAATTGTAATTTCCTTGACTCTGAGTAGTTGTTTTTCCGGTATAAAACAGAAAATAAAGATGCATTTTTCCTATGAATTCTCTCTTCTGAGTTCGTCAATTATCCAATTATATTTTTATTTGGCGAAATTAAAGCTGAAACCCGTGTCGACCCTTGAGTGATCTGAACGTTTTTACACCCAGAGATGTATTGGGATATTGGATGACGACTGCAGGCCCGAAAATAACCGGTTATCGTAGTCTGGTGTGCATGCTAAGTTACTAGGAAGGGGCGAGTATGTTTGGGCGAGTATGTTTGCACGTGCACATGCGTCTATTTGTGCCCAGTTTTTGGTTTTGATCAGTCGTGAACTTTTGTTAAAGGTGATTCTTATCTGTGATAAGTTTGGTTACAATGAAATATATGAGGTTCATATATTTTGAACTGCGAGGATCGTGCATCATACATGTGATAAGTTTGTTCACCGTCAGGGGGAGAGTCAGGCTGACGGGATTTTTTTGGGCATGACCTCTTCTGATCTGATTCAATGTTTGATCGTTAACTAAAACAAAAGGGTACGGGAAATATCAAATTACAAGAATACCAGTCGACATACATACATTCGTTACTGTTCACACCATACGTCAACAGGGAATAGGAAACGTGCATTCACAGTCGTCGCCACCGACAATTTTGTGTATCGTTAAATTGTTTTTCCCTTCTCTTCTTTCCTCTTATTCAGTTTGGTGAACCTACCTTCCGTTGTAGGTCATAATGTTTCAAATTGCAAACGCTTGCCAGATTTTTGCTTTCGACCGTGGTCAGCGGAAGCCTCAATACACAGCCTTATCTTGGTTTCAGTTGACAGACAGAGACGCGACAGAAGGACGCAAACTAAGGCGCGAACAAAAGAAGGTGGGAGTATGCTAACTATCGTTCTGTTGTACAACCCTCGAGTCATGTGGAAATAAACGATGTTTCAGGGGAAAGGGAGTGAAGAGAAACAATCCCATGATGAAATTTCCACACGACGCATGCCGGGAAGATGGAACATCTTGCCGTTATAACACGAAAATGGAGAAACTCATTGATCAGTTGAAGAGACCCAATAGTGCATAGTGCATCCGATGCACTATGCACTATTGGACTTCAATGTCAACATCGCTAAGATTGCTGGTGCGTCCACTAGAGGGTTGGCGGTCGTTGTAGTGGGTCTGGTTTAAGCGCCTATCCGTCACTTTGGGAACTTCCATGATTCTTTTAGCTGTCGGAGGGGCGCTTTGCACCGAGGTGGCGTAACCGCTGCTAGTTCTAGCACAGTGGAAAGCAGTAATGTCCAATCAGTTTAAGCTTGCACTTGCCCAACAAGGCTATAGACAGTTTCAATGCTTCTGTTTATGCCCTTAAAATCCTTCTACTTCGCACATCGCGCAGCATAAACTTATTTGCGTATTTATGAGGCTCCTTGTGCGAGCTTGTGCTATTTATATGTACACTTACTCAGCTAACGGGAGGGCAGAAAGACATC